GGAATAAAATGGAATTAAAGTTGGAATGGAATTGGAATTGAAATGGGATTGGAATTGTGATGGAATTGGAATGGAATGGAAATGGCAATAAAAGTGGAATGAAATAGGAATGGGAATTGAATTGGAATGGAATGGAATCAGAATGGAATGGGAATGGATATGGAATTGAAATGGAATGGAATTAGAATGGAATTGAAATTGAAATGACATGAAATTGGAGTTGGAATGAAATTGGAATGGAATGAAAAGAATTGGAATTGTGATGGAATTGGAATGAAAGGAAATTGGAATGGAAAGGAATTGGAATGGAATGGGAATAAGAATGGAATGGAATTAAAATTGGAATGAAATGAAATTGGAGTTGGAATAAAATTGGAATGGAATGGAATGGAATTGGAATAAAATGAAACTGGAATGAGATGGAATTGGATTTGGAAAGAAATTGAAATGGAATGAAATTGGAATGGAATGGAATGGAATTGTAATGAAGTGGGAATGGGAATGGAATGGAATTAGAATTGGAATGAAATGGAATTGGAGTTAAAATGGAATTGGAATGAAATGGAATTGGCATGGAATGGAATGGAAATGGAACTGGCATTGAATGGAATTAAAATGGAATGGCATTAGAATGGAATAGAATTGGAATTGGAATGGAATGGAATTGGAATTGCAATGGAATTCAAATGGAACAGAATTGGAATGTAATTGGAATCAGAATGGAATTAGAATTGGAATGGAATTGGAATTGGAATGGAATGGGAATTGGAATTGGAAAGGAATGGAATCAAATTGCAATGGAATTGCAATGGAATTGGAATTGGAATGGAATTGGAATGGAGTAGAATTCCTTGGTTCTGAAGGCTCAAAGCCAGAGTTGTTTTGTATTTATTGGTGGATATTGTATTAATGGTGGATGCCATTCCTGGGCAGGTGTTCTTTTGAGAGCATCTCATCTTATCTGAATTGTTGCAGTCATAAAGAATATGCAATGATAAACCTTGTCATAGAAATATGTGCATACATGCAAGCAATGCAAAGCAGGAGATGTGTGACAGTCATGAAGGGATTTCTTATGGGATTTTTAGAAAGTCTTGGGAACCGAGACTTGGACATACAACCTTGAACCTCACTCCTTTGTGCCTTCCCAACCCTATTTTGTGTGGGTCTGAGGAAAGTGATTTCATCTTGGTATCTGCAACTTCCACAGCAGATAATAATGTACAGCTTGGGCTGGGTGCGGTGGCTCATGCCTGTAATCCTAGCACTTTGGTAGGCTGAGGTGGGTGGATCAGCTGAGGTCAGGAGTTCAAGACCAGCCTGGCCATCATGGTGAAACCCCATTTTAGAAAAAAAATAAAAACAATGTACAGCTTGTCTGGTGGTTGTCAGGATGAGAAACAAAGCATATGAACAAATACTTTGTAAAAATTACCATGTATAATGTGAGGATGACTGATGACCAACTATTTTGCCTTTCATTTGTTTGTCATCATAAGCACATGGTCAGCCAATAAAATTTAAGAGCTGGAGTTAGAACCAGAATCCCCAAGTTTCTTGTTGGTTACTCTGTCTTTAGCTTTTTGGACTTCAATTTTTTGCTTTTTTTTTTCCTTTAATTTTATTTTTATTTATTTATTTATTTTTGGGAGACAGAGTTTCACTCTTGTTTCCCAGGCTGGAGTGCAATGGTGAGATCTTGGCTCACTGCAACCTCCACCTCCTGGGTTCAAGCGATTCTCCTGCCTCAGGCTCCTGAGTAGCTGGGATTACAGTCATGCGCCACCACATCCAGTTAATTTTGTACTTTTACTAGAGACAGGTTTTCTCCATGTTGATCAGGCTGGTCTTGAACTCCTGACATCAGGTGATCCGCCCACCTCGGCCTCCCAAATTGCTGGGATTACAGGCTTGAGCCACCACGCCCGGCCCTGTTGCTTCTTTTATAAACGATCAACAAAATGTTTGAGTATACTCTTACACTTTTTAAAATGTGGCACTTGGCCAGGTGCTGTGGCTCACGCCTGTAATCCTAGCACTTTGGGAGGCTGAGGTGGGTGGATCACAAGGTCAAGAGATGGAGACCATCTGGCCAACATGGTGACCTAGAGCCTTTTTCTTTCTCCAGGGCTGGCTTCTGATTGGCTCTGCTTGCCTTCCTGAGAGTCTTCCCTTTATGAATGAAGCCACTTGTCCCAGCTTCCCTCTGCTGTCTCTATCTGAATGCCTGCTATGATATTCTGACCTAGGTGCTGTCACCCATAGTGGGCCTCAGAGCTGGCTCTTCCCAGCTGGCTAACTATCTTTAATCAGTAAGAATTTCCTAGTGGAGAGTGATGGGAAGTCTAATCCAAACTGGCTTAAACAAAAATGAGAATTTATTGACTAACATGACTCAGAACACCAGAACACTATAGAGAACAGGCCTGATAGTGGGAGGAGGGGTGTTTTCTCGAAAAGAAATTGGGTGCAGCTTTCCTAGAAGAAATCAGTTACTCAACATATAATACCCTTATGAATTAAGTTACCATTCTGTGTCTCTTACTTCCTCATTTGCCAAAGTACCTCTGTGATATCTAAATGCAAGTCTGTTTTCAAGGTCAGTTTCTGGAAAAAGTGACCCTGAGAAGGCTTCCTGCTGAGGAAATGAATGGATAAACATTCACAGCATGTGTTTTTGTGTGTTTGCACTGCATAAAAACAATTCCAGCATCAACAGAAATCAAAAAGGAATAATTTTCTGATGACACTGCTGTTCCCTCCAATGAAACTGTTCATTCTGGGGGAAAGTTCTTTCAGTTCTTGTTCATAGATAGGTGTAACTGTGCTAACCTACCCTATGTTAGCCAGACAGACTCCATTTTGCTGAGAGCCAGATAGACTCCATCTTGACCTCCACCTCACCCCTCCTGCCACTCTTACCTTAAGTGCATACCTGGGTCTTGCTACTGTGTTGGGTCATGCTGTACTTAGAACTATAGAAACATATAAACTTTGTAACCATAGCCTGCTTGGCAAGTCCCACTTGCCATTGTGAATGCCCCCACCTTGATTGATTATATGACAAGTATTGAATACCCCCCTTGGTAACCGGCAATCATGGGAACCACTTGTGTATACCCTCCTTAAAAATCAACAATCATGAGAACCTCTTGCCTCCTAGTTACCAGCCTCCTTATCTAACTTGCTTGTTCTACTTCTGTAAACTCTGCTCCAGCTAGGCTCCCCCTCTCCTACCTAAATCAAGGTATAAAAGATAATCAAGCCCCTTCCTTGGGGCCGAAAGAATTTTGAGCGGGAGCTGTCTCTTGGTCGGCTAAAAAATAAAGGACTCATAATTTGAAACTCAGAGCCTGGTGTTGTTCCATCTAACTCTCCTGGGTATAACAATACTTCATAAATCAAACAATCAGGCCAGGCGCAGTGGCTCACACCTGTAATCCCAACACTTTGGGAGGCTGAGGTGAGCAGACCACTTGAGGTCAGGTGTTCGAGACCAGTCTTGAGACCTCCACCATGGTGAAACCCTCTGTCTCTACTAAAAAAAAGAAAGAAAATTAGCCAGGTGTGGTGGCACATGCCTGTAATCCTAGCTACTTGGGAGGCTGAGATCGCTCCATTGCACTCCAGCCTGGGAGACAAGAGTGAAACTACATCTCAAAAAATAAAAAATAAGCTCCACGAGGAAAGAGATTTTTGTCTGTTTTGCTCATTATTGAATGACATGAACCAGAAGAGTGCTTAGCACTCATGAGGCACTCAGTATTTGTTTAATGAACAAATCAGAAAAAATATATTTAGAGCTCAAGAAAAAACCCCAGCAAATCTAGCAGCCCTTATGTAAGTGAATGCATGACCAAGCAATTGCCTCTTACCACATTATTGCCAGGTTTATTCCACCAGCAATAGAATCAAGTCTCTTTGTGAGATTATATTTCTTCAGAAAGAAATTGTTTTTTAGCTCTGCAAAAGGATCAAACTAGAAACAGCATTTCTCATCTTCCTTCCACTCTGGGAAAGCTGGGGCAGAGGAAAGCTTTCCAGAAATTTGAGGTTCTAGAGCTTGCAAGATCTGAAAAAGGCCAGAGGACTAGGATTTGAGTGAGGAGGTGGAGGATTGGAAAGGAAGAGGGTGAGGACACCAGACAGAGGGTCCTGAGGAAGGCTGATAAGAGGAAGATACAGTAGACTAGGGAGAAATGGCAAACACTCTTTCCAAAGGCTTAAGATTGTGAGGCGGTCAGATTTTTTTGTCCCCATGGAATATTCTGTGAGGTAGAGTTGACAACTGTCTTCTCCTTCTCTATATTGCTGTGACATTTGTGACAGCTACTTGATCTCTCAGAGATCCACGTTAACCTTCACTGTAACTCATGCATGCTGAGCAAGACCAGCGAGGTACCTAGGAACCCTTCCCTGATCATCTTGGATCTCAGGCAGCGATTTAGCTGAGAGGAACCAGCGCATCATTGGTGGATTACAGAGGTGCTTCCTGATGACCAGCAGCTAAAGAGAAAATGCCAGAATCTGGTGGAAGACTCTGCATGTTTAGGAATCATGAATATGAATTTCCTGATTTTCTCCTGCAGGCAGAATGTGGCAAAGATTGCTATCCACATTCCTAGTATCTCACATCCTCCCATACTAAGAGAAATCCCAATTTTTAGCTGGGCACATTGTCAACCAGGAAAAAGATTAGGTTTCCCAGCTCCTCTTATAGCTAGGTATGGTCATCTAAGTTCTTTGTTTTTCTTTTTTTTAAATGGAGTTTCACTCTTGTAGCCCAGGCTGGAGTGCAATGGCATGATCTCGGCTCACTGCAACCTTCACCTCCTGGGTTATCTCTTTTTCTTTTTCCCCCCATTTATTTTGAAGCAAACTCTAGACATCATTCCAACTGTAACTGTAAAGGGACAACTTGAACACTGATACTTGCAATATCAAAGCCTATTGGTCTCTTTAATTTGTGCAGCAGCAATAAAGATATAGAAAAAAAAAAAATGAAAGCCTGCTGGTCTCACCCTGTGCCTTTTATTCAAGCTTATTGCAATGACTGCATCTTTGCTGACGAAGAATTACAGCTGGACTCTTTTAAGGACTGGCCCTGGGAATCAGCTGTGGGAGTTTCAGCGCTGGCCAAGACAGGCCTTTTCTACACAGGTGAGTCAGTGGGTTGTGTCCACTTGCTAGCTTGACCCTTAATTCCCACATAGACTTTATCCTCCTGGGCTTGCGTTTAGCGGCACTCAACCATCTCCACTCACTTCAGCATTTTTTACAGGTTCTTTTTCTTTTCCTTTTTATTTGGTTTTGAGACATGGTCACCCAGGCTGGAGGCCAGTGGCGAGATCATGGCTCACTGCAGCCTCGATCTCCTGGGCTCAAGCAATCCTCCTGCCTTGGCTTCCCAAAATGCTGGGATTGCAGGCATGAGCCACTGTGTCTGGCATAGATCCCTTTTCTTTCCTGCATCATAAATCCTCTCTCAGTTTTCTGTACCTCCCTTAGATGGTGAAGCTTCAAATTTGAAACCTTAAGGTCTGGACTAACAATACAGGCATTTATTTGGGATAATTACCATGTCTTCTCTTTCTACACATTACTCTCCCTACCTCTTGTCCCCCGCTCCCAAGGTGCTCCTAGAAACTGTCACAGGACACTTCTTATATTTCTGTAATCAAAACTTAGTCACATGGCCAGGTGTGGTGGCTCACTCCTAATAATCCCAGCACTTTGGAAGGCTGAGGTGAGTGGATCACTTGAGGTCGGGAGTTTGAGATGAGTGTGGCCAATATGGTGGAACCCTGTCTCTACTAAAAATACAAAAACTTAGCCAGGCGTGGTGGTGGGCACCTGTAATCCCAGCTACTCGGGAGGCTGAGCCAGGAGCATCACTTGAACCTAGGAGGTGGAGGTTGCAGTGAGCCGAGATCATGCCATTGCACTCCAGCCTGGGCAACAAGAGCGAAACTCCATTTAAAAAAAAAAAAGAAAAAGAAAGAAAGAACTTAGATGACCATACCTAGCTATAAGAGGAGCTGGGAAACCTAATCTTTTTCCTGGTTGACAATGTGCCCAGCTAAAAATTGGGATTTCTCTTAGTATGGGAGGATGTGAGATATTAGGAATGTGGATAGCAATCTTTGCCACATTCTGCCTGCAGGAGAAAATCAGGAAATTCATATTCATGATTCCTAAACATGCAGAGTCTTCCACCAGATTCTGGCATTTTCTCTTTAGCTGCTGGTCATCAGGAAGCACCTCTGTAATCCACCAATGATGCGCTGGTTCCTCTCAGCTAAATCGCTGCCTGAGATCCAAGATGATCAGGGAAGGGTTCCTAGGTACCTCGCTGGTCTTGCTCAGCATGCATGAGTTACAGTGAAGGTTAACGTGGATCTCTGAGAGATCAAGTAGCTGTCACAAATGTCACAGCAATATAGAGAAGGAGAAGACAGTTGTCAACTCTACCTCACAGAATATTCCATGGGGACAAAAAAATCTGACCGCCTCACAATCTTAAGCCTTTGGAAAGAGTGTTTGCCATTTCTCCCTAGTCTACTGTATCTTCCTCTTATCAGCCTTCCTCAGGACCCTCTGTCTGGTGTCCTCACCCTCTTCCTTTCCAATCCTCCACCTCCTCACTCAAATCCTAGTCCTCTGGCCTTTTTCAGATCTTGCAAGCTCTAGAACCTCAAATTTCTGGAAAGCTTTCCTCTGCCCCAGCTTTCCCAGAGTGGACGGAAGATGAGAAATGCTGTTTCTAGTTTGATCCTTTTGCAGAGCTAAAAAACAATTTCTTTCTGAAGAAATATAATCTCACAAAGAGACTTGATTCTATTGCTGGTGGAATAAACCTGGCAATAATGTGGTAAGAGGCAATTGCTTGGTCATGCATTCACTTACATAAGGGCTGCTAGATTTGCTGGGGTTTTTTTCTTGAGCTCTAAATATATTTTTTCTGATTTGTTCATTAAACAAATACTGAGTGCCTCATGAGTGCTAAGCACTCTTCTGGTTCATGTCATTCAATAATGAGCAAAACAGACAAAAATCTCTTTCCTCGTGGAGCTTATTTTTTATTTTTTGAGATGTAGTTTCACTCTTGTCTCCCAGGCGGGAGTGCAGTGGAGCAATCTCAGTTCACTGCAACCTCATTCTCATGAGTTCAAGTGATTCTCCTGCCTCAGCCTCCCAAGTAGCTGGGATTACAGGCGCCCACCACCACACCCAGCTAATTTTTATATTTTTGGTAAAGACAGGGTTTCACCATGTTGGTCAGGCTAGTCTCAAACTCCTGATCTCAGGTGATCCACCCACCTTGGCCTCTCAAAGTGCTGGGATTATAGGTGTAAGACACTGTGCCCGGCTCCCTCATGGACTTCAGTTCCAGATTCTGGTTGCCATCTGTTGATCAAAGGAGAATGGGGCAGAGGGATGGTGCCTATCAAACTGCATGGTGTGTAGGAGCATTGAATGACTACTTGCTGGTTATCTTGTAGATGGGCAAACAGTCTTAAATAGAAAATTGCCTCACTGGTAACCAACTTCTGACTTTGCCACAAAACCCAACTGGAAACTGAATAGGCTTTCACTAATACAGGTCTGGTGGTTATTATCTGCATGTCAGTGGACAGATGCCCATGACAGTGGCACTTTTCAAGTTTTCTTACTTTTAGGTATAAAGGACATCGTCCAGCGCTTTTCCCATGGAGTGTGCTTAGGGAAGTGTCAGGAGGATGATAACTCACTAGATGATCACACCGGATATTTTCCGAGGTGAGTGGAATGAATATTAACCATCTGTGACTTTGGATGCACTTCAACGTTTTTTTTTTTTTTTCTCATTTCCTGCCTTATTTTATCTTTAGATTGAGTCTTTATCCATTCCTCTGATTCAGGCTATGAAGGATGAGTCTTCACGTCTTATTTTTTTTGAGATGGAGTTATACTCTTGTTGCCTAGGCTGGAGTGCAATGGCACCATCTTGGCTCACCACAACCTCTGCCTCCTGGGTTCAAGTGATTCTCCTACCTCAGCCTCCTGAGTAGCTAGAATTACAGATGTGCGCCACCACACCTGGTTAATTTTTGTATTTTTAGTAGAGACAGAGTTTCGCCATGTTGGTTAGGCTGGTCTTGAACTCCTGACCTTATGATCCACCTCCCAAAGTGCTGGGATTACAAAGGTGAGCCACCGTACTCAGCCCCTTTCACATCTTTTGTGGCACAGTTGTGCTGGTAATTAACTTTATTGGCATTTGTTTGTATGAAAATGTTTATATTTTACCTTCCTTTATAGTTCTTTTCCTTGATAGGCCTATTAAAATATATTTTTTTCTTTTGTAAGCCACTTTACCCCTTCCTTAAGGGTCTGCTTTTATTTGGCTCTACATGGCTGACTTTGGACAGAAATATTAAAAGTTCTACTTGTTGTTTTCCTGAAGCTATGCTTCTATTTCTGGACTCATCGCCAAGTCATTTGAAGGCAATACAAATGAAGCATCTGGGCCAGATGCAGTGACTCACACCTATAATCCCAGCACTTTGGGAAACCGAGGTGGGAGGAAAGCCCAGGAGTGCCAGGCCACCCGGGGCAACATAGTTAGATCCTGTCTCTACAGAAAAAGAAAAAAATTGCCTGGCCTGGTGGCATGTGCCTGTAGTCCCAGTTACTTGGGAGACTGAGGTGGGAGGATCAATTTAACTTTGGAGTTGGAGGCTACATTGAGCCTTGATCGTGCCACTACCCTCAAGCCTGGGCAGCAGAGACCTTGTCTCAAAAGAAAAAAAGTATCCCTTTGCTTTGCTCCTGCTCTCCTGTGATTCCACAGCAAGGAATGGGCCACTGACTACTTACTCATGTGTATAGTTCTCATCTGTCCATTTTAATAATTGCAACTAGAGCTCCTTTTGAACTTTCTCTCTTGTTCTTCAAGCATACATCAAAACTGAGTTTAGAGGGTATTTGCATTCTGGTTACATGATGTTTGGCAAGGAGTTTCTAGAGAGTATGTTTGCGGCCATTCTTTAGTTTTGATACTGATGAAGGGTTTCTTTTTTTACTTTTTGTTTGTTTAAGACAGGGTCTCACTCTGTCACCCAGGCTGGAGTGCAGTGGTGCAATCACGGCTTACTGTAGCTTCAACCTCCTGACCTCAAGTGATCTTCTTGTCTCAGTCCCCTAAGTAGCTGGAACTATACATGTGTGCCACCCCCACCCCCTGGCAAAGTTTTAAAATTTTTAGTAGAGATGAAGTCTCTCTATGTTGTACAGGTTGGTCTGGTCTTGAACTTCTGGCCTCAAGTGATCTTCCTACTTTGGCTTCCCAAAGTGCTAGGATTACAGCATGAGCCACCACACCCAGCTAATTTTTGTATTTTTTAGCAGAGGCAGGTTTTCACCATGTTGGTCAGGCTGGTCTTGAACTCCTGACCTCAAGTGATCCACCCGCCGTGGCCTCCCAAAGTGCTGGGAATACAGGTGTGAGCCATCACACCCAGCTTTGTTTTTTTGTTTTGTTTTGAGACAGCGTCTTCCTCTATTACCCAGGCTGGAGTGCCGTGGCACAATCTCGGCTCACTGCAACCTCTGCCTCCCGGGTTCAAGTGATTCTTGTGCCCCAGCCTCCCGAGTAGCTAGGAGTACAGGTGTATGCCACCACTTCCTGGTTAATTTTTGAATTTTCTTGTTCTCTATGAAAACAAAGCAAAATTTTTGAATTTTTTTTTTTTAGTAGACAGGGTTTCGCCATGTTGGCCAGGCTGGTCTCAAACTTCTGGCCTCAAGTGATCTGCCCACCTCTGCCTCCCAAAGTACTGGCATTACAGGCATTAAACTGCATCCAGCAGTTTTTTTTTAAATAAAGTTTTTATTTGAAATTATTTAGATTTACAGAAAAAGTGCAAAGTAATACAAAGACTTCCTATATATTACTGTACCTAATTTTCCCTTATTCTAACATCTTACACTTACATCATCAGTGTACCAATTCATACACTGGTACATTACTATTTACTATAATCCAGATTTTATTTGGATTTCACCAGTTTTTCCAGTAATTTTGTTTTTCTTCCCAGGCAGTGCTGAAGAAACCAGTAATGTTTTTTTGTTCCAGAATTCATAGTTTGTTTTTTTTTCCTATTTTTGATTTTTTTTTTTGAGACAGAGTCTCGCTCTGTCACCATGCCATCGTGCAATGGCATGATCTCAGTTCACTGCAACCTCCGACTCCCAGATTCAAGTGATTCTCCTGCCTCAGCCTCCTGAATAGCTGAGACTACAGGCATGTGCCATCACACCCAGCTAATTTTTATATTTTTAATAGAGACAGGGTTTCACTGTGTTGGCCAGGATGGTCTTGATCTCTTTACCTTGTGATCCGCCCACCTCGGCCTCCCAAAGTGCTCTAGTTTTGATTCTTTAAGTTCACTTTTGTTGGTTTCATGTAGGAGTGTTACATATGCACTCATTCCACCAAATTCCCTTGATATCCTTACCATTACTTTATAAACCATTTATATTTCTGTTGCAGGGAGCCATTGACAGAGAGAATCACTGGAAATGATAGTTTTATACTTAATTCTTGTCACTAAAACTCTAATAGCGTTTTTAAAAACCTAATACAAGCCCAGGCACAATGGCTCACACCTCTAATCCCAGCATTCTGGGACGCCTAGGCAGGAGGATTGCTGGAGGCCAGAAGTTTAAAACCAGAACAGCCTGGGCAACATAGTGAGACCCTGTCTCTGGAAAACACACACACACACACACACACCCCTAATAGTTAAATGCATACAACTATTTTTATAACTTTTCACACTTAGTTGTTCAATTCTCCAAAATATGAAGTCCGCTGTAGAAGTGATTCCAGAACTTCAGAGCCATGATGAACTTTGTGAATAAAAAATGTAATGAGCACCATCACCTTGTTTGTTTTAGCAGCACATGATCTTATAATTGAAAACTGTTTTGAACAGGAATGTCTCATCATAAATAAGTAAATAGATTCTATAAAAATCTACTAAGCATCTATCATGTTCTAGGTGCAGACTGGGAAGATCACAGTAAACCAGTCAGGCACAATACCTAGCTTCATGAAATGTATAGTCAATCTCTTCTAGTTTATTTATTTATTTATTTATTTTTAAGACGGAGTTTCGCTCTTGTTACCCAGGCTGGAGTGCAATGGTGTGATCTCGGCTTACTGCAACCTCCGCCTCCTGGGTTCAGGCAATTCTCCTGCCTCAGCCTCCTGAGTAGCTGGGATTACAGGCACGCACCACCATGCCCAGCTAATTTTTCGTATTTTTAGTAGAGACGGGGTTTTACCATGTTGACCAGGATGGTCTCAATCTCTTGACCTTGTGATCCACCTGCCTCGGCCTCCCAAAGTGCTGGGATTACAGGCTTGAGCCACCACGTCCGACTAATCTCTTCTACTTTATAAGGCCCAGACTCTCTTAGACTTTGCTGGTTAGCATCCAGGCTAAATGGATCATCTCTGGATCTTCATTTGAAGGATAATAAGGCTGGATTTGCTACTTGGGCTTTTTGGGGGCTGGGAGGATGTTACTTTAACAAAAGCAAGTGTCCAACAAAACATAAACCCAGTTAATAGACTGACCACTTTAAGCTGAGAAATCTTACATAGTTCTCTGGGATATAAACCACTACTAATTTAATACACACATGCCCCACCTTATTTTGAGGATATGTGTTAGGGATGATATGCTTGTCATCCCCCAAAAAGAAAACAAAGCAATTTGCTATTTAGTTGATTCATTTTTTTATGTGAATTGAAAAATGACACTAAAGAAAAGAAGTTTGACGGCCGGGCACAGTGGCTCAAGCCTGTAATCCCAGCACTTTGGGAGGCCGAGGCGGGTGGATCATGAGGTCAAGATATCGAGACCATCCTGGTCAACATGGTGAAACCCCATCTCTACTAAAGATACAAAAAATTAGCTGGGCATGGTGGCGCGTGCCTGTAATCCCAGCTATTCAGGAGGCTGAGGCAGGAGAATTGCCTGAACCCAGGAGGCGGAGGTTTTGCTGAGCTGAGATCGCGCCATTGCACTCCAGCCTGGGTAACAAGAGTGAAACTCCATCTCAAAAAAAAGAAAAGAAAAGAAAAGAAGTTTGGGGATATAGAAATAGCTTATTATTATTATTATTTTTTGATACAGAGTTTCGCTGCTGTTACCCAGACTGGAGTGTAATGGGACGATCTCGGCTCACCGCAACCTCCGCCTTCTGGGTTCAGGCAATTCTCCTGCCTCAGCCTCCCGAGTAGCTAGGATTACAGGCACGCGCCACCATGCCCAGCTAATTTTTGCATTTTTAGTAGAGACGGGGTTTCACCTTGTTGACCAGGATGGTCTCGATCTCTTGACCTCATGATCCACCCGCCTTGGCCTCCCAAAGTGCTGGGATTATAGGTGTGAGCCACTGCGCCCGGCCCAGAGATAGCTTATTTTTTAAGGAAGAAACATAACCTTTCTAAATCCCAGAAAATTACTATTACACATCTGGGATTTAGAAAGATTATGTTTCTTCCTTAAACAGTAAGTTTAACTACATTTTCACTATTACACATCTGGGATTTAGAAAGGTTATGTTGGCCGGGCTTGGTGGCTTATACCTGTAATCCCAGCACTTTGGGAAGCCGAGGCAGGTGGATGACCTGACAGGAGTTCGAGACCAGCCTGGCCAATATGGTGAAACCGTGTCTCTAAAATAAATAAATAAATAAATAAATAAAGTCTCAAAGTTAAAAAAAAAAATAGGTTATGTTTCTAAATCCCAGGACAGAGGCTGCAGCTAATGATTTTTGGAGAATCCTTTTCACTCTAGACACGATGATTCTCATTACCTGGATAGTATTAGCCTATGGAATGTATCATATACGAACAACTGAGGAACACACACTCTTGCAGATGTTTGTAGATTATTAACTGCTTTATATTTGGAGCACCCTTCCTTCCTTCAATCAGCATAAATATTTGAGAGTGGGCTGGGTTTAGAAGATGTTTGGTCCCCAGTGATTATAACATGATGCACCACCCTCCTATGCAAATTCTGATTTAAGAAAGGCTTTTATTTTTCAAAAGAAACCACATGAAAGCAGTCTTTATAGCAGTTAATCCTACAGTGCCAGGTAAGAACTTTGAAGTAGTATGTGGGATTATATGTATGTGTAAATATATTTGTATACAGGGAGGTTGCAAAAAAAGAGTATAATTGTCCAAAGAGCTTCCAAAGAGGAGCAGCATTGCAACAGTGTTCTGTAGGAGCAAAAGTCAAGGTTCCTGTGACTTCTCTAGGGTGCAGGCAGGACCAAACTGATAGTAGGCAACATGTCTCAGGACAAGCAAACTGGCCCATAGAAGCACCAATAAGCAAGCTTCTTGCTTGAGATTTTTATTTTTATTCATTTTATTTTATTGAGACAGGGTCTCACTCTGTCACGCAGGCTGGGCTACAGTGGCAAGATCATGGCTCACTACAGCCTGAACCTCCCAGGCTTAAATGATCATCCCATCTCAGCCTCCCCAGTAGCTGGGACCACAAGCGCATGCCACCACACCTGGCTAATTTTTGTGTTTTGCCATGTTGGCCAGGCTGGTCTCTAACTCCTAGGCTCAAGCAATTCAACTGCTTCGGCCTCCCAAACTGCTGGGATTACAGGCATGAGTCACTTTGCCTGGACTCTTTACTAAGATTTTTAAAATGGGAAACTTATATATAAGAGTCCATGGTGCTTCTAACAAGCACACATTATGTCTAAGTCCATGTTTCAAGTGGGGCGCTTTGGACACATGCTTCCCACATTCTGATTTTTGAGGCAAAACCTATGAGATAATGGCAATGTGGGAATCATAGATGGCTGTGGAAGGTCCTAACACATTCGTAGTACACAGGCAGAATCATGGAGTGAAAAGGGCATGGTGTTGAGAATGAGGGAGATGTAACAATGAATCCTAATTGTGCCCCTTTTTCTTCTCTCCAGTGATGGCACAGGATGAAGCCCAATGGTTTCAAGAGGCAAATAATCTGAGTGAGCAGCTGAGAGCAGCTTATACCAGCGCCAGTTTCTGCCACATGTTTTTGCTTGATATCTCTTCCAGTCTGGCCACGGACCACTTACTGGGCTGTGATCTGTCCATTGCTTCAAAACACATCAGCAAATCTGTACAAGAGCCCCGAGTGCTGCCGGAGGTCTTTGCCAACTTGAATTCTCTTATGTGTGTGGAGGGTGAAGCTGGGAGCGGAAAGATGGTCCTCCTGAAGAAAACAGCTTTCCTGTGGGCATTCGAATGCTGTCCCATTAAACAGGTTCTAGCTCGTTTTCTACCTCTCCCTTAGTTCCACCAGACCAGACTAGGGGCTGGCCAGTATCTATTGTCTGTGACCAACTCCTAGAGAAAGAAGGATGTTACTGAAATGCACATGACGAACATCCTCCAGCAGTTAAAGAATCAGGTCTTATTCCTTTTAGATGACTACTAAGAAATATGTTCAACCCCCCAAGTCATAGAAAAACTGATTCAAAAAAACCACTTGTTGGCCAGGCGCGGTGGCTCACGCCTGTAATCCCAGCACTTTGGGAGGCTGAGGCAGGTGGATTACGAGGTCAAGAGATCGAGACCATCCTGGTCAACATGGTGAAACCCCATCTCTACTAAAAATACAAAAAATTAGCTTGGCATGGTGGCACGTGCCTGTAATCCCAGCTACTCAGGAGGCTGAGGCAGGAGAATTGCCTGAACCCAGGAGGCGGAGGTTTCGGTGAGCTGAGATTGCACCATTGCACTCCAGCCTGAGAGTTTCTGAGAGCGAAACTCCATCTCAGAAAAAAAAAAAACAAAAAACACCACTTGTCACAGACTTATTGATTACTGTCCATATAGACAGGGCCAGGGATATCTGTCAATACCTAGAGACAATTGTAGAGATCAAAGAGTTTCCCTTTTATAATACTATCTATATATTACAGAAACTCTTTTCACATAATGACTTGTCTGCAAAAGTTTATGGTTCACTTTGGAGTGAATGAAGCTTTGCAGGGGATTCAGAAAACTCCCCTCTTTGTGGTGGCAATCTGTGCTCATTGGTTTCAGTATCCTTTTGACCCATCCTTTGATGATATGGCTGTTTTCAAGTCCTATATGGAATGCCTTTTCTTAAGGAACAAAGTGACAGCTGAACTTCTCAAAGCAACTGTGTCCTCCTGTGATGAGCTGGCCTTGACAGGATTTGTTTTCATGTTGCTTTGAGTTTATTGATGACGATTTGCAGAAGCAAGGGTTGATGAGATCTAACCATGAGATCTCATGGGCAAATTTACAGCCCAGAGACTAAGACCATTCTATTGGTTTTTAAATTCTGCATTCCAAGAATTTCTTGCAGGGATGAGACTAATTGAACTCCTGGATTCAGACAGGTAGGAACATCAAGATTTAGGACTATATTATTTGAAACAAATCAACTCATTCATGATGACTGTAAGCGCCTACAACAATTTTTTGAACTGTATCTCCAACCTCCCTTCAACAAAAGCTGGACCCAAAATTGTCTCATTTGCTCCATTTGGTGGATAACAGAGTCATTAGAGAATACATCTGAAAATGATGACTACCTAAAGCACCAGCTGGAAATTTCACTGAAGATGCAGTTAGGGGATTGTGGCAAATTTGTCCACAAGCTTACTTTTCACTTCAGAATGTTTACTGGCTCTTGCCCTAAAAATCGCTTCTGAAGGCAACCTGTTGCTGCAGGTTCTCCATTTGTTTTGCAATTCCTTCAAGGGAGAACACTGACTTTGGATGTACTTAAGTTACAGTACTTTTTCGACCACCCAGAAAGCCTGTCATTGTTGAGGGGCATCCAGGTCTCGATAAAAAGAAGAGGTCACCCAAAACAGATTTTTCAGTCCTGGAAACATGTTTGGACAAATCACAGGCACCAACTATAGATCGGGACTATGCTTCTGCATTTGAACCTATGAATGAATGGGAGCAAAATGTAGCTGAAAAAGAGGCTAGCATAAAGAGTTGTCTGAATATCCAGCGCAGGGCACCACCAGACATCAGTACTGGCTATTGGAAACTATCTCCAAAGCAGTACAAGATTCCCTGTCTGGAAGTCCATGTGAATGATACCGATGCTGCAGACCAGGAGATGCTCGGGGTTCTAATGACAGTTTTCTCAGCTTCAGAGTGCCTTGTACTCCATTTAAACCACAGCAGAGTCTTTATTGAAAGCATCCGCCCAGCTCTTGAGCTTGTCTAAGGCCTCTATCACCAAGCACCCTGTAAACAAATTGCAACTTGGCACAGCTGAACAGGAACCGCTTCTCATCCTGCCTTCCCTGGAATCTCTTGAAGTCTCAGGGACAATCCAGTCAACAGGTATACCTGCATATATTTTGGATGACTATTCTGATGTATAATTTTATTTTCTCACTTAGTTTTAAGTGGTTGAAAATTCTGAGGCCATGAGAGCATGAATGCTCATTGATAGAAATAGATAAAATAAACATTCACTAATGTTTTTTGGTCAGCAGCATGAATTAGTGAAAAATCCCTGAATAATAGAATGCTTTTCAAATAACTCAGATAAAATGAATAAAATATTAATATTAAATTATTGAAGTCTCTTAATAAACAGACAGGATTTGTTATTAGTAAAAGAATTAGCTATATGTAAGATGATGCTTAGAGATTTCCTTCATCCTGGCTACCCAAAGGAAGAAAGGGCTGTGGTCCCTGGAAAATAAATAAAAAAATGGGAAATAATATTTTCACCCATTTGTGTCTTCTTTAACTCCTCTAAGCACTATTTGATAGTTTTCAGTGTAGACTTTACCCATCTTTCATTAAATTTATTCCTAGATACTCATATCTTTTGACAGTATTGTAAATGTCGTTAAAAATAGTTTTTCGGCCAGGTGCGGTGGCTAATGCCTGTAATCCCAGCATTTTGGGAGGCTGAGGTGGGCAGATCACAAGGTTAGGAGTTTGGGACCAGCCTGACCAACATGGTAAAACCCCGTCTCTATCTAAAAATAGAAAAATTAGCCAGTCGTGGTGGTGAGTGCCTGTAATCCCAGCTACATGGTAGGCTGAGGCAGGAGAATTGCTTGAACCTGGGAGGCAGAGGTTGCAGTGAGCCAAGATTGCACCACTGCACTCCAGTCTGGGCAACAGAGTAAGACCCTGTCTCAAAACAATTTTTTTTTTCACTTTCTAATTGTTGCTAGTATTGCTTTGGTCTTAAGCAGTTTGACTGTTATATGCCTAGGTGTGCTTTGGTTTGTATATATCTTACTTGAGGTTCACTGAACTTTCTTGGGACCTGTGAGTTGATATTTATCAAATTTAGAAAAATTTTCATCTTTTTTCAAGTATTTTTATTACAGTAAAATATATGTGACAAAACTTACATTCTAATCATTTTAAGTGTACCACTCAGTGGCATTACGTGGATTGACTACGTTGTACAACCATCACCACCATCCATCTCCAGAACCTTTTCATCATCCCAAACACTGTATTCATTAAACAATAAATCGTCGGGCCAGGCACGGTGGCTCAGGCCTGTAATCCCAGCACTTTTGGAGGCCAAGGCGGGTGGATCAGCAATTCCAGACCATCCTGGGCAACATGGTAAAACCCTGTCTCTACTAAAATACAAAAAATTAGCTGGGTATCATGGCGGGTGCCTGTAGACCCAGATACTCAGGAGGCTGAGGCAGGAGAATCGCTTGAGCCCGGAAGGCGGAGGTTGCAGTGAGCTGAGATCGGCCACTGCACTCCAGCTTGGGCTGCAGAGCGAGACTCCGTCTCAAAACAACAAGGCAGGGCGAGGTGGCTCATGCCTGTAATCCCAGCACTTTGGGAGATCGAGGCGGGTGGATCACAAGGTCAAGAGATCGAGACCATCCTGGTCAACATGGTGAAACCCCGTCTCTACTAAAAATACAAAAACTTAGCTGGACATGATGGCGCCTGCCTGTAATCCCAGCTACTCAGGAGGCTGAGGCAGGAGAATTGCCTGAACCCAGGAGGCGGAGGTTGCGGTGAGCTGAGATCGCGCCATTGCACCCCAGCCTGGGTAACAAGAGCAAAACTCCGTCTCAAAAACAAAACAAAACAATAAATCTTCCCTCCCACCAGCCCCTGACAACTTCTCTTCTATTTTCCGTCTCTATGAATTTGCCTATTCTAGATATTGTTTATACGTGGAATCACTTCTTTGGCTTATTTCACTTTGGATATTGTTCAGGGTTCACCATGTTGTAGCATATGTTGGAGTTTCATTCCTTCACATGTACCCCATAAATATGTACAATTATTATGTATCAACTTTAAAAAAGAACTTCATTCCTTTTTATAGCTAATATTCCATGGTATGTAGTACATTTTGTTTATCCATTGTCTACTGAGGGACACTTGGGTTGTTTCTACCTTCTGGCTATCATGAATAATGCTGCAATGAACACTGGCATTGTAAGTATCATTTTAAGTTCTTGCTTTTAATCATTTTGGGTATATACCTAGAAACAGAATTGCTGATTCATATGGTAATTGCGTTTAACTTTTTGAGAAACTTGTACAGTAGCTGCACCATCTTACATTACCACCAGCAAAGTACACAGGGTCCGATTTCTCCACATTCTCTTCAGCATTTGTTCATTTTTGTTTTTGTTTTTGTGGAGACAAAGTCTCACTCTGTTGCCCAGGCTGGAGTGCAGTGGCACAATCTCGGCTCACTGCAACCTCCACCTCCCGGGTTCAAGCAATTCTCCTGCCTCAGCCTCCTTAGTAGCTGGCACTAAGGTGTGCACCACCACACCTGGGTAATTTTTGTATTTTTAGTAGAGATGGGTTTCGCCATGTTGCCCAGGCTGGTCTCGAACTTCTGAGCTCAGGTAGTCCGCCCACCTTGGCCTCCCAAAGTGTTAGGATTACAGGTGTGAGCCACTGCACCCAGCCTATTTTTGTTCTCATTGTTGTTTTTCAGATAGGGTCTCACTTTGTTGCCCAGGCTGGAGTGCTGCGTTACAATAATGGCTCACTGCAGCCTCAACCTCTTGAGCTTAAGTGATCCTCCTGCTTCTGCCTCCCATGTAGCTGAGACTACTGGCATGTGCCATCATGCCTGGATAATATTTTATTTTTTGTAGAGACAGTCTTGCTATATTGCCTGGTTTGGTCTGGTCTGTGGTCTGTTTGTCTCTCTTTCTTTCTCTCTCTCTCTCTCTCTCTGTTTCTTTTCCCCACATCTCTGTTTCTCTCTCTCTTTCTCTGATTCCCTCCGTCTCTCTTTCTTTCTTTCTGAGACAGTCTTGCTCTGTTGCCCAGGCAGGAGTGCAGTGGCACGATCTTGGCTCACAGCAACCTCTACCTCCTGGATTCAAACGATTCTCCTACATCTTCCTCCCAAGTAACTGTGATTACAGGCTCCCGCCACCACGCCCAGCTAATTTTTGTATTTTTAGTAGAGATGGAATTTCACCACGTCAGCCAGGCTGGTCTTGAACTCCTGACCTCAGGTGATTCACCCGCCTTGGCCTCCCAAAGTGCTGGGATTACAGGTGTGAGCCACCGGGCCTGGCCCCTAGTCTGGTCTTGAACTCCTAGCCTCAAACGATCCTTCCGCCTTGGCCTTCCAAAGTGCTGGGATTACAGGGATGAGCCACAGTACCCAGCCCATTTTGTTTTGTGATGATCTCACAAAGCCATTCTAGTGGTTGTGAAGTGGTATCTCATTGTGGTTTTGATTTGCACTTCTCTAATGTCTGAATGATGTTGAGCATCTTTTCTTTTTTTGAAAAAATACCTATTTGCTCATTTAAAAATTGTTTTTGTTGGGTTGTAAGAGTTACTCCTATATTTTGGATTTCACATCTTTATCAGATAGATGGTTTGAAAATATTTTTCGCATTCCATAGGTTGTCTTTTCACTTTCTTTATAATGTCCTTTGATATACAAAAGTTTTAAATTTTGACAAAGTCCAATATCTGTTTTTTTTTTTCTTTTATTGCTGGTTCTTTTGTTATCATATCTAAGAATCCACTGTCAAATTCAAGGTCATGAAGATTTACTCCTATGTTTTTTTCTAAGAGTTGTATGATTTATGCTTTTATATTTAGGTCGTTGATCCATTTTGAGTTGATTTTTTTTTTTACATGGTGAGACATAGGAATCCAACTTCATTCTTTCACATGTGCAGATCCAGTTGTCCCCAGCCATCTGCTGAAGAGATGCCATGTGTCTTTTGTGAGTCCAAAGAGTAGCACAGTACGTAATCAGTAAATGCTGCAAACAGCAATATCTTTACATATGTTCTCTAAAAAAAAAAAAGTTTTATGGTATGTGGAAGATTTGCATGTGAAAATAGCTGGATGAATCAAAATGACTGAATGATACAAAATGTTCATTCAGTATGAAGAGCACAAGACTGATGCCTAAGGAAAAAAAAAGTTCATTCAGAACTCTTTAGATTAAATAATGGGAAACTGTGTGCTGCTTTCCAGACCAAGTCTTTCCTAATGTGGGTAAGTTCCTGTGCCTGAAAGAACTGTGAATCTGGAAGGCAAAATAAATATTTTTTCAGTCATTCCTGAAGAATTTCCAGACTTCCACCATATGGAGAAATTATTGATCCAAATTTCAGCTGAGTATGATCCTTCCAAACTAGGTAAGGATGGCACTTTAATATGCTTGTTTTTACATCAGTTGGAAAAGCTACTTGGCCAAAATTTATTTAAGAGGTAAAGGTCCTGTGTGGTTCTAAGGGTGTAGCCTGTATCCATGGTAAATTGTGGTGAAAAGCACTCTTTCTTATTAAGACAGCCGAGTACTATTTGTAATTATTGAGCCTTTACTACATACAAGGAAGTGTCCTAAGCACGTCACAAATATTAGCTGAGTCTTCACACTCACTCTGTGAAGCACAGTACTATTATTTTGTAGCTGGGAAAACTGAGACATTAAGAGATTAAGTAATTTGCTCAAGGTTATCCAGTGAAGAAAATACAGATCTGTGTCTCAGACACGGGAATTTTGACTCCAAAATCAGAGCTCTTAATCCCTAATATAGGCCAGGCATGGTGGCTCATGCCTGTAATCCCAGCACTTTGAGAGGCCAGGATGGGTGGATCACCTGAGGTAAGGAGATCGAGACCAGCCTGACCAACATGGTGAAACCCCATTTCTACAAAAATGCAAAAGTTAGCCAGACATAATGGCGCATGTCTGTAATATTGGCTACTTAGTCGGCTGAGGCACGAGAATCACCTGAACCCAGCAGGCAGAAGTTGCAGTGAGCTGAGATCGCGCCATTGCACTCCAGCCTGGGCAACAAGAGTGAAACACTGTCTCGGGGGAAAAAAATGCCTAATGTTACCACTCTAAAATAATTTTCAGGGTTATTTTGTTTTTGCTTAGGCTGGTCTTACATTGCAACTTACAGATCTGCCAGCTTAGCAGGAAGGAAAACTGCTGATCGGAAGCATCTCCCTGTTTCTCAACAGCCTATCCTAATAGTTCATAAAAAAGGTGCAGCCATCTTTCTTAAATGTATCATTTAGCAAAATGACTTAGGCATCATCATTCCTTAACTTAGTAAACACTGGACACTAAAGATTAAAGAAATATACAACTGTATGGAATTGACATAAAGAGCTGCATGCAAAAAATTTAGTTGTTGGCCGGGCACAGTGACTCACACCTGTAATCTCAGCACTTTGAGTGCTGAGGATCGCCTAAGGCAAGAGGATCTCCTGGAGCAGGAGTTCAAGACCAGGCTGGGCAACATAGCAAGACATCATCTCTACTTAAAAAAAAAAAAAAAAAAAATTAGCCAAGTATGATGGTGTGCACCTATAGTCCCTAGCTACTCAGGAGGCTGGATCACTTGAGTTCAGAAGTTCAACCTTTTAGTGTGCTATGATTATGCCGCCGCACTCCAGCCTAGGTGATAGAGCAAGACCCTGTCTCAGATACAAAGGTATATGTATATACATTGAAGCTGGAGGTGGTAGCAATTTTTAAAACAAATTTAGGTTTTGCCTCACAGTTGTCATTCCTTTTGTGTTTCTTCTTCTTTCTTCTTCGGAGTGACAGAGACTCATTCTGTCACCCACGCTGGAATGCAGTGGCACCATGTCGGCTCGCTGCAATCTCCATCTCCTGGGTTCAAGCAATTCTCCTGCCTTGGTCTCCCAAGAAGCTGAGATTACAGGTGCCTGCTACCATGCCCAGCTAATTTTTTCATATTTTAAGTAGAGACGGGATTTCATCATGTTGGCCAGGCTGGTCTCGAACTCCTGACCCTCAAGTGATCCACCCACCTTGACCTCCCAAATTGCTGGGATTACAGGTGTGATCCACCACACCCGGCTCTTTGTATAGTGTTCTTTTTTTTTTTGAGACACAATCTCACTCTGTCACCCAGACTGGAGTGTGGTGGTGTGATCTCAGCTCACTGCAACCTCTTCCTCCTGGGTTCAAGCAATTATCTTGCCTTGGCCTCCTGAGTAGCTGGGATTACAAACGCCTGCCACCCACATTTGACTAATACTTGTATTTTTAGTAGAGACAGGTTTTCAGGGTGGTCTTGAACTCCTAAGTTCAGATTATCCACCCGTCTTGGCCTCCCAAAGTGCTGGGATTGCAAGTGAGAGCCACGGTACCTGGCCTCTTTGTACAGTATTCTTATTGTGCAATGTCATCTACAAACTTAGAGATATTAGATGTTAAAGCTGAAGGTGATGTTACTGAATCAATGCCTGTATTTTATAGATGAGAAAACTGTTACCCCGAGAGGGTCAATAATGTGCCCAAATTCATATCACTTATTAGTTTCAGAACCTGAACCCAAGCCCAGAGTGACCTGATTCTTAGATCATGACATCATAGTACTTGGTTTTAATTCAATATTATTGAAACAAAGTAATAAACTACGTGGCTAATTTTGATAGAAATTTATTTGCAGTCTTTTCTAATTTCTGAAAATTCTTGATCTTTTACAGTAAAATTGAATCAAAATTCTCCAAACCTTCATGTTTTCCATTTGAAATGTAACTTCTTTTTGGAATCTGAGTCTCTCATGACTTTACTTGCTTCCTGTAAGAAACTCAGAGAAATTTTTTCTGATTCTTTTTTTTTTTTAAAGCCGTCCCATTTGGGAAGAGTTATAATATTACAATTGTGGTTTAAGATGTTTCTATGGGCACAGAGTCATATTAAGCACTCTTTAAAAAAGAGCCATATTTTGAGGCTGGCTCATGTCTGTAATCCCAGCACTTTGGGAGGCTGAGGCAGGAGACTCGCTTGAGGTCAGGGGTTTGAGACCTGTCTGGGCAACATAACAAGCCTTCTAGCTCTACAAAATCTTAAAAATAATTAGTTGGGTGCTCGCTTTGGCAGCACATATACTGAAATTGGAACGATACAGAAAAGATTAGCATGGCCCTTGTGCAAGGATGACATGCAAATTTGTGAAGTGTTCCATATTTTTTAAATAAAAAAAAAATTAGTTGGACGCAGTGGCACCTGTAGTCCCAGCTACTAGAGAAGCTGAGGCAGAAAGATTACTTGAGTCCAGAAGGTTGAGGCTACAGCAAGCTTGAACTTCCACCTCCTGGGTTCAAGCTTTTCTCCTGCCTTAGACTCCCAAGTAGCTGGTACTACAGGCATGTGCCACCATGCCTGGCTAATTTTTGTATTTTTAGTAGAGACGGGGTTTCACCATGTTGGCCAGGACGGTCTTGATCTCTTGAATACTATGCAGCCATGAAAAAGGATGAGTTCATGTCCTTTGCAGGGACATGGATGAAGCTGGAAACTATCATTCTCAGCAAACTGACAAAATAACAGAAAACCAAACACCACATGTTCTCACTCATAAGTGGGTGTTGAACAACAAGAAAACATGGACACAGGGAGGGGAACACTGCACTCCAGCCTGGGTGACAGAGACATTGTCTCTTAAAAAAAAAAAAGGAAAATTATTTCTCAAATAATAAAGTATATGTCTTTCTAGAATTTTCTTTTTTTACCTCTAAGCTCAATTGGATTTGAAATTTCCAGAATTTTAACTACATTTCTAGTTATCAGAACTATTTTCTGAGGAAAGATTTGTTTCATCTACTTAGTCATATGAATTCAATCTGAATTATTACATTGATTTCCAATTTCTTCATTTTAAAGATGTTATTCTTTGCTGTAAGAGATGTAGCTGACATAACTGAATTTTTATTTTCCCTTTTGTAGTTGCCATTTTACCAAGTTTTATTTCACTGAAGATATTAAATCTTGAAACCCAGCAATTTCCTGAGGAGGAAACATCTGAAAAAGTTGGTATGTTTACAAAATACTGCTTTTTACATATTCTTATTCTTTCTGCCCAGAATTCTTTTTCTCCTATTTTGAATTAGCCACAAGGAAGCAAGATATGTATTAGCTGCCCTTGCTTATTAGGAGGAAGTGACAGTGATGCTTAACTTTTACCCCCTGCCAAGGCTTTCACTACAGTTTTACCTCCAGATTTGATTTCAAAGCAGAATGACTTTTTTTTTCTTCTTGAGATGAAGTCTTGCTCTGTCACCCAGGCTGGAGTGCAGTGCAGGGCAGTGGTGCAATCTCAGCTCACTGCAATCTCTGCCTCCCGGGTTCAAGCAATTCTCATGCCTCAGCCTCCTGAGTAGCTGGGATTACAGGCCTACCACCACACCCAGCTAATTTTTGTATTTTTAGTAGAGACAGGGTTTTACCATGTTGGCCAACCTGGTCTTGAACTCCTGATCTCAGGTGATCTGTTCGCCTCAGCCTCCCAAAGTCCTTAGATTACAGGTTTGAGCCACTGAGCCTGGCCTCAAAGCAGAATGACTTCTTAGAATACATATTTAGTCATTATAGCACTATGCAATTTCATTGTCAGATATCTGTTTCAAATGAGACCTCATTGTTTCAATGGTTACTGAAATACAGGTAAAAATCTTTTTTTTTTTTAACAGAGTTTTACTCTTGTTGCCCAGGCTGGAGTGCAATGGTGCCATATTGGCTCACTGCAACCTCTACGTCCTGGGTTCAAGTGATTCTCCTGCCTCAGCCTCCCAAATATCTGGAATTACAGGTGCCTACCATAACGCTCAGCTAACTTTTTGTATTTTTAGCAGAGACAGAGTTTCACTGTATTCGCCAGGCAGTTCTTGTACTCCTGACCTCAGGTAATCCACCCACCTTGGCCTCCCAAAGTGCTGTGATTACAGGTGTGAGCCATGTGCCTGGCCAAAATCTATCTTTTAAGGTTAAGAAAACTCAATATATGAAAACTATATTTCATAAAATGATAGCTATAGAATTTAAATGTTTTGATTAAAAAAAATGATTATGAAAGTAATGTATGCTCATGGAAAACATTCTAACAGAAACAAAATATAAAGGGAGGCAGTGGAGATAGGGACTGCAGAGCTGTGCTATTCAAAGTGCTTCTCAAACATAAGCATGCTTAAGGATTGCCAGGATCCTCCTCTTCTCTTCCCTTCCTTTGGAGGCAGCTATGTGGGTAGATGCTGAGGCGGCAGAGGTAGGATCAGGGCCAAGGAGATGGCTGGCATATATCACAGGTTGATTAAGCAAATAATACAGTGAGTAAAGCCAGGCGCAATGGCACACACCTGTAATCCCAGCACTTTGGGAGGCTGAGGTGGGGGGATCACCTGAGGTCAGGAGTTCAAGACCAGCCTGGCCAACACAGTGAAACCTCGTCTCTACTAAAAATACAAAAACTAGCTGGTCATTGTGGCCAATGCCTGTAATCCCAGCTACTTGGGAAGCTGAGGCAGGAGAATCTCTTGAACCTGGGAGGCAGAGATTGTAACGAGCCAAGATCAGGACACTGTACTCCAGCCCGGGTGACAGCGCAAGACTCCATCTTAAAAACAAACAAAATAACAGTGAGTATAATGAGAGCCACATTTCTTCAAGCTGGAAAAGGAATTTACAAATATTGAAAGGTGAGGCTAGAAAGAGCTTTGAGGTGCTGGATTAGAATTGGAAATATCGGTCTGGCCTCATGGTTTTTTAACCTATGAACATACATAAACAGAGATCTCTGTGTATATACATTGACCTCCGCATGTCTATACATACACACATACATATTTCTCAGCTCAGTCAATGGAGAGACTAGAAGGCACTGCAGTAATAATGAACATACCAAGTACCCAGATATTGATTTCTAAATCCGGTCCTTCCTTAAAGGAACAAGGGTCCTTGCAGAATTGGCTGATTCAAGAACTGAGACAGGGAAAGAAAACAATACGCCTGGGACATTGTTTTATGCTAGAAAGGATTCCATATATTTGCATGCGTCAGGCCTCAGAAGTTGAGAACTTTCTAGTGATCAAGTAATCTATAGTGTGCCATACTAGGAAGGAGAGAAAGTGAAAAGGAAGGTTCCAAGAGTGGTGGACTATAAGGCTTTAGGGCCAGGAGGGAAGTGCAGAATCACTGAGGATGACAGCAGGCAGTGGGATGGGAAGGGAGGCTGCTGCAGAGCTGGGAGAGGAACCTGCAGGGCCAGGAAACGCTTCATTCTAAACGATGAAATGGAGATTGAATTGGCAGTCTGGATTTCAGTGCAGGAGAGATTAATTGGTAGAGAGTGGTGGGGGATTTGTATGGCGGTAGCGAGGAGGATGGAAGCACGTGCTGACCCTTCTCTTGCCCTCAGAGAGTGAGAGGAATGGCCTCTATGCCACACGGACTCTGTGCTTCCTGGACCATGCATGGTGTTTACACCTCACATGATTTTCAGATTACTGCTGCAAAGAAACAAAAAGTACAAAGAGAATAGATTTTTGGTCTTTTCTAACAGCCTACGCTTTAGGTTCTTTTAATAATCTGGAAGAATTGATCCTACCTCCTGGGGATAAACTACCTCCACTGGCCAAACTGATCATCCAGCAGTGTCAGCAGCTTCACTGTCTCTGAGTCCTCTCATTTTTCCAGTCTTTGAACAATGACAGCGTGGTGGAAATTGGTGAGCTAAAGTGTTTCAGCTTGCATGGAAGGTAGTGGTATAGTCAAGCTTTCTGCTGCAATGTGTCTATAAAAATATTTGCCCCTCTAGAAATTTTCAACCCACTTCCTCATTTTCACTATCATAGTGTTCCCTCTAGTGTCCTTCTGTGGATTTAGGTGCATTCTAGTCAGATTTGAAAGTACAAAAAGGTCTCCCATTTGTAAATATACAAGCCCTCCAATCTGTGTTCTTGTCACCTGGTGTTTCAGACCCCTGGCCACATAACCTCCTAAGTACTCTCTTTTAAAACTGAAGATGAATATATACACAGAAAGTACAAAAATCATACATGTACTGCTCAATGAATTTTGTTTGTTTTGAGACAGAGGTTTGCTCTTGTTGCCCAGGCTGGAGTGCAGTAGCATGATCTCGGCTCACTGCAACCTCCCCACTCCTGGGTTCAAGTGATTCTCCTGCTTCAGCCTCCCAAGTAGCTGGGATTACAGGCATGCACCACCACCCCTGACACAAGGTTTCACCATGTTGGCCAGGTTAGTCTCAAACTCCTGACCTCAAGTGATCTGCCCTCCTCAGCCTACCAAAATGTTGGGATTATAAGCATAAGCCATCACACCTGCCCTAGAAATGTCTTTTACTTTGCTTTTGAAATATATTTTTTCAGTGAGTATAGAATTCTATTTTTGGCTCTTATTTTCTCTCACATTTCTAGCTTCCATCATATCTTTTGTTTAGGAAGCTGTCAGTCTTTTTGTTGTGCTCTTGAAGGGGAGGGATTGTCTTTTCCCCCCTCCTTTGGTGGCTTTTAAGATTATTTTCTTTGTTTTCTTTTGTGGCAGTTGCTACGAACTTTCGTGCCCCCCAGAATCCACGTGTTGAAGCCCTAACCCCCAATGTGATTGTATGTGGAGAGAGGACATTTTAGGGCACTTTCTTATGGCCACCTGAGCAGACCATACAGCAGCAGGTGTACTCTAACATGTCCTAGTGGATTTCCTTTGTATTTACTCCGCTGGTGGTTTGTAGAATTGATTGGTTTTGTGCCTGATGTCTTTTATCAGTTTTGGGAAGTTCTTGGCCAATATGTGTATAGCTTCTGCCCAGTTCTTCACCTCTATTCTTCTCTCTTCTCCTTGCATATAGCAGAAGGACTCAACCTAATTTGGAATCAGGAGAGGCCTTTTTTAGAAACTGAGATTTCTTTTTCCTTTTGTTTTTGGTTTACTGAGGCGGAGTCTTGCTGTGTCACCCAGGCTGGAGTGCACGGGTGTGATCTCAGCTCACTGCAACCTTGACCTCCTGAGTTCAAGCGATTCTCCTGCCTCAGCCTCCTGAGTAGCTGGGACTATAGGCATGCACCACCATGCTTAGCTAATTTTTGTATTTTTAGTAGAGGAAGGGTTTCACCATGTTGTCCGGGCTGGTCTCAAACTCCTTACCTCAAGTGATCTGCCCACCTCAGCATTCCAAAGTGCTGGGATTATAGGCATGAGCCACAGTGACCAGCCTGAGGAACTGAGATTCTTTTTTAAAATTAATTATTTTTTTCTTATACTTTAAGGTCTGGGGTACATGTACAGAAAGCACAGGTTTGTACATAGGTATACACGTGCCATGGTGTTTTGCTGTATCCATGCCCCCATCATCTACATTAGGTATTTCTCCTAATGTTATACCTCCCTAATCCCCCCACTCCCTGCTATCCCTCCCCTAGCCCCCCACCACTAGTAGGCCCCAGTGTGTGATGTTCCCCTCCCTGCATCCATATGTTCTCATTGTTCAACACCCACTTATGAGTGAGAACATGCAGTATTTGGTTTTCTGTTCTTGTGTCAGTTTGCTGAGAATGATCCATGTCCCTGCAAAGGACATGAACTCATTGTTTTTTATGGCTGCATAGTATTCCATGGTGTATATGTGCCACATTTTATTTATCCAGTCTATCATTGATGGGCATTTGGGTTGGTTCCAAGTCTTTGCTATTGTGAACAGTGCTGCAATGAACATACATGTGCATGTGTCTTTATAACAGAATGATTTATAATCCTTTGGGTATATACCCAGTAATGGGATTGCTGGATCAAATGATATTTCTAGTTCTAGATCCTTGAGGAATCGCCACACTGTCTTCCACAATGGTTGAACTAATTTACACTTCCAACAACAGTGTAAAAGCACTCTTATTTCTCCACATCCTTTCCAGCATCTGTTGTCTCCTGATTTTTTAATGATTCCCATTCTAACTGGCATGAGATGGTATCTCACTATGGTTTTGATTTGCATTTCTCTACTGACCAGTGATGATGGGCTTTTTTTCATATGTTTATAGCTGCATAAATGTCTTCTTTTGAAAAGTGTCTGTTCATACCCTTTGCCCACTATATGATAGGGTTGTTTTTACCTTATAAATTTAAGTTCTTTGTAGATTCTGAATATTAGCCCTTCATCAGATGGGTGGATTGCAAAATTTTGTTTCCATTCTATTGGTTGCTGGTTCCCTCTAATGTTATATTTTCTTTTGGTGTGCAGAAGCTCTTAAGTTTAACTAGATCCTATTTGTCTATTTTGGCTTTTGTTGCCATTGCTTTTGGTGTTTTAGTCATGAAGTCCCTGCCTATGTGTATATCCTGAATGGTACTGCCTAGGGTTTCTTCTAGGGTTCCTATGGTGTTAGGCCTTATGTTTAAATCGTTAATCCATCTAGAGTTAATTTTTGTATAAGGTGTAAGGAAGGGTCCAGTTTCAATTTTCTGCATATGGCTAGCCATTGTTTCCCAACACCATTTATTAAATAGGGAATCCTTTCCCCATTGCTTGTTTTTGTCAGGTTTGTCAAAGATCAGATGGTTGTAGATGTGTGGCGTTACTTCTGAGGCCTCTGGTCTGTTCCATTGGTTTTTATCTCTGTTTTGGTACCAGTACCATGCTATTTTGATTACTGTTGCCTTGTAGTATAGTTTGAAGTCAGGTGGCGTGATGACTCTAGCTTTGTTTTTTTTTTTTGCTTAGGATTGATTTGGCTATGTGGGCTCTTTTTTGCTTCCATATGAAGTTTAAGGTGATTTTTTCAAATTCTGTGAAGAAAGTCAATGGTCGCTTGATGGGAACAGCATTGAATCTATTAAGTTACTTTTGGCAGTATGGCCATTTTCACAATAATGATTCTCCATAACCATGAGCGTGGAATGTTTTTTTTATCTGTTTGTGTCCTCTCTTATTTCCTTGAGTGGTGGTTTGTAGTTCTCCTTGAAGAGGTCCTTTACATCCTTTGTTAGTTGTATTCCTCAGCATTTTATTCTCTTTGTAGCAATTGTGAATGGGAGTTCACTCATGATTTGGCTGTTTGTTATTGGTGTATTAGGAATGCTTGTGATTTTTGCACATTGATTTTGTATCCTGAGACTGCTGAAGTTGCTTATCAGCTTAAGGAGATTTTACGCTTGAGTTAACTGGGTCTTCTAAATATACGTCTGCAAATAGAAACAATTTGACTTCCTCTTTCCCTAATTTAATACTTTTTTTTTTTTCTTTTTCTTGCCTGATTTCCCTGGCCAGAAATTCCAATACTATGTTGAATAGGAGTTGTGAGAGAGGGCATCCTTGTCTTGTTCCAGTTTTCACCCATTCAGTATGATATTGGCTGTGGGTTTGTCATAAACAGCTTATTATTTTGAGATACGTTCCATCAATACGTATTTTTGAGATACGTTTATTGAGAGTTTTTAGCATAAAGGGCTGTTGAATTTTGTTGAAGGCCTTCTCTGCATCTCTTCAGATAATCATGTGGTTTTTGTCTTTGGTTCTGTTTATGTGATGGATTATATTTATAGATTTGTGTATGTTGAACCAGCCTTGCATCCATCCCAGGGATGAAGCCAACTTGATTGTGATAAGCTTCTTGATGTGCTGTTGGATTGGGTTTGCCAGTATTTTACTGAGGATTTTTGCATCAATGTTCATCATGGATATTGGCCTGAAATTTTCTTTTTTAGCTGAGTTTCTGGTATCAGGATTATGTTGGTCTCATAAAATGAGTCAGGGATGATTCTCTCTTTTTGTATTGTGTGGAATCGTTTCAGAAGGAATGGTACCAGCTCCTCTTTGTACCTCTGGTAGAATTTGGCTGTGAACTTGTCTGGTCCTGGACTTTTTTCGGTTGGTAGGCTGAAATTGTCTCAATTTCAGACCTTGTTATTGGTCTATTCAGGGATTCAACTTCTTTCTGGTTTAGTCTTGGGAGCATTTAAGTGTCCAGGAATTTATCTATTTCTTCTAGATTCAATGGTTTATGTGCATAGAGGTGTTTGTAGTAATCGCTGATGGTAGTTTGTATTTCTGTGGGATTGGTGGTGATATCCCCTTTATCATTTTTTATTGCATCTATTTGATTCTTCTCTTTTCTTTTTTATTAGTCTGGCTAGCAGTCTGTCTACTTTGTTGATCTTTTCAAAAACTGACTCCTGGATTTATTGATTTTTGAAGGTTTTTTTGTGTTTCTATCTCATTTAGTTCTGCTTTGATCTTAGTTTTTTTTTGTCTTTGGCGGCTTTTGAATTTGATCTTGCTCCTCTAGTTCTTTTAATCATGATGTTACAGTGTCGATTTTAGATCTTTCCTCACTTCTCATGTGGACACTTACTGGTATAAATTTCTCTCTAGACACTGCTTTAAATGTGTTCCAGAGATTCTGGTGCATTATGTCTTCGTTCTTTTTTTTTCTTTCTTTCTTTCTTTCTTTTTGCATGCACTTAGGGCATAGTGTCTTCGTTCTCATTGGTTTCAAAGAACATCTGTGTTTCTGCCTTCATTTCATTATTTATCTAGTAGTCACTCAGGAGCAGGTTGTTTCGTTTCCATGTAGTTGTGTGGTTTTGAGTGAGTTTCTTAATCCTGAGTTCTAATTTGATTGCACTGTGTTCTGAGAGACTGTTATGATTTCTGTTCTTTTGCATTTGCTGAGGAGTGATTTACTTCCAATTATATGGTCAGTTTTAGAGTAC